GTATCCGATCCGGGCCCCCCCCCCCCCCCCACAGAAACCTATTAAAAAAAAAAAAAAAGGAGCTCTGGGTTCTCGTTGATTTAGCGTTCTATTAAATTAAAAAGTTAAATCACTGTATGATCACTTTTTGTTGTAACTGTATTTTATTTTGAAGGAATGTTTAAATACAGTGAAATTAACATTTTTAAAATCAAAGCAATCTGAAATATAAGCAATCAACGTCTCTCCCCACTCCGTGGTCGTGGTAAAATTATCAAACGTTGACCGGTCCGTGGAGAAATAAAGGTAGAGAGCAGGGGCATACGTGAATAGGGAGAGGGGTAAATGTGTTAACTACAGATAAATTTATAAGAAACTAAGTTATCTTCATTGACGGCTAACGTTTTACTTTACAACAATTTGATTGGAAAATATTTTACCGGTTTTACCCTCTTGGCCAAGTTATCGCAATAAGGCGTTACGTGTTCAAAAATTATGGGATATATATTTTTTTTTTTCAATTCGGATTATATCCTGGTGTGAAATTCTGAGTAAATTTTAGAAGAAAAATTCGCTCTGGGCATATACACAGATTGGCCTATATTCGAAAATATGCGGTATATAAATTTTGCAAAAATAAGGCTTTGATTTGGTTGAAAATTTAAAATAGTAATTTTTAAGGATATTAATCAAAACCTACATGGCAATTCCACCTTTTCTGAGAATACATATAAAGACGAATTTCAGAATACATTCAAATGTGTTAAAGACAATTTCTTTTTTTTTTTTTTCATTTATAGAATTCAAAATGGATGTTTAGTTTTTATTGATTGTTTTTCCTTTTAAATATGGAACATCTGCAGCTAAGAAACAAAATTACTCTCATTATATCAGGTTTTGATATTACTAGTTCATTATCTTTGCGTGATTTTCAACTCTTACTGTAATCACAATTTGGTAAAAATAAACTAAGTTTAAAAACTGTATATAATACATAAATGATTATTCTCAGAGAAGATAAAAAAGATGTTAAAACTCGAAGAGACAGTTGAAGGACATTGCCAACAGTAGCATACTAATAGATGTCAATAGTGAAAGGAACTAAGTAGCGAAATAAGGAGATAACAAAAGAGAAACTGCATTAAAATTTCGATCAGATAAAGAAATAAAGAAGATACACGGAAGAAATGAACTGAATTATTGATGATGAGATGGTCAAGGAATACAGCTAATCAAGAATTCTGAAGAAAAGAAGCTTCAAATTCGAGCCATCGTCAGTACTAATTGCTTAGACTTGTGATTACTGTTAGTTTGTTAAAACATAACAAATAAGTAGATTAAAGCTTATAAATTAATATCTTGACAGAATTGGTTTTATGCTTCAAACAGCTGAAATATTCTTTTCACTTTTAATATTAAAGGGGTTACCTTTTTGAGATTACAGAGATTAATTTTAATTATTTTATTTTTATATTCTCCTGTAATTGTTATATTGCGCTCATTTAATATATTAATTTGTATAACAGGGAGAGAAAAAGAGAAATACCAAGTATATGTAACATCTTTTCTTAAAAGGTATTATTGTCCTTAATATAATGTTTGAGTTAAATTTTCACTCTATAGAAGAAGTATCCACGAGATAATTATTAAAGGATATTTTTTGTTATAATTTGTATATAACTGTTATGTCAAAATATGTATATCTATCTAAAACAATTTTCATTTATATAAGAACATAGGGCTCTAAGCTAGTATTTTGTTACAATCATGAAAATATGTCTTTTTCAAACTGAAAGTGGAAAATAAAAAAAAAATGTAGTTTCCATCAATATCCATTCAAATTATGAAACATAAGCAAGATTTGTCTTTGTTGTTTTTCTAATATGTGCAGAAACTATTCAGAACTGTTTCAGATTTTAAAGTCTCCTTTTATAGTGAAGAAATGAGAATCTTTGATTTAATATTGATGAAATATTCCCCTTTTAAATTGTTAGAATAGGTTTTTAATTAAAGAAAAAGCTTTGGAAACCCGGGTTTTAGGACAATAACTAAAAGTAGAAAAAAAATTTAATTTTTGCAGACAGCTTAACTCTGTCGTTGGCCATTTATTTTTCTTTTGAATTTCTCGCAGTTTTCTATGTTTTATTAACAATTAAACAATGGCATTTAAGGATAAATATTTTATTTTGCCAAATTTTATGTTTGCATTTGAATTTTCGGAATGGGAAGAATACTTCCCATGGAATCATTTACCGTTGTCAAGAAAATTAAATTTAATGCTGATTATTTGCCATGAAAAGATGAGAAGCACGTTGCAATGTACAAAGGGGACATCACACTCTGCGCACATGTAGTGGATCCTCTTTTCTTGTCCCTTTCTGCGACATTTCCTACATCTTCTATAGTTGGAAATCATCTTTGGCATATGATTTCTCATACTGGCTAAGCGCACATCATCCGGAACTATACATTTTTTTACTTGGAAGCTAGCAGGACGTCCTTTCCTTTTTCTAGAGAAATATCCGTCTATTAGTTGACAAGCTAATGCTATGCAGAATATTAGCTGGTCCAAACTTCTGTTTCTTTTGTTCACTTGCCACAGTATGAAACTATTTATGATTGCAAAGTCAATAAGAAAATAAAGAATACGATACCACCATTTACAGATCTTATTCTTATTTTATATCTTTTTTTTCTTTGATCAAAGAGCAATTAACCCCTACTACAACATCATTATATACAGCGACAGTTTGTGACGGAGCTTTACCATGTTTTCATACTAATCCTCTTGGGGAATCCTTAGGGTGAGCATTGAGTTATTTCACAGCCAATCCTCTCAAGAAGAAACCGTGATATTCAGATTATTTAGTGCATATATAGTGGAGGTTTTGTAATCGCGAGGAAGAAGGAGAAAGAAAGATAAGATGCTGAGCGCCGTGAGCTGATGGTAAGGATTTAAACTTAGAAGTGTAATTATAGAACGGAATTTAGCGAGTTAAAGAAATTAAGAAAGATTAATATTCGTAAGCGGTTAGGATTTCAGGCGCTTATTTACATAGAATTTAGGGATACGTTATATCACTCCCCTGATTGCCTTCCTACAGTAAGACTTGCTTTGTTCAATATATTTGGATAATAATAAATTGGATTTGTTATGGCTAGATTGGGTGATCAATTCTTACCTCCCACAAATCTAGATCGCGTAGATGAAGAGATGGTACCCCCAGGTAAGGGGGAGGGAGTATCACAAACTTTTGGAAAAGGTACTTCTTTAGTACTATCAATACTCCATCAATCATACCATCATAAACCAGCGATTATGTGCAGTATCGCAAAACTGAAAAGAGATTTAGTCTTCCCATCGTTATAATAGCAAGGCCAATAAATTATAATGGGTTTTGCGCTTCCCACAGGTGTATTTTGTAAGATCATGTAGATGGGAAGTAATCTTCTCAAGGCCCACGAAAGGGTTAAAAAGACTTTGTAGGGAATAAGATGCTATACACAGGATAAAACGATTTGTTTTAGCAGTCTAGCAGTACTACAGTTCTTGATTTTCTAATCCTTGCGATTATCTGTTTTGGCTACAAGAGGTTACTTCAACTCATCTTAATTGCTTAGAATACGATTAGTTTTATAATGCTGTCGTCACACAGTCTATAGTTGCAAACTCTTTCCCTCTTAATGGAAAGATATTTTTAAAATACATATAAATTTAAAAACTTATAATTTTCCTAGTTAGGCTGATAAAAGGTTTCTCAAAAACAGTACGGTAATAAAAACCGTGTAAAAATGAATCTATGAAAAGTTGTTTGAATTAATGGCATGTTTCACAGCCTTAAGCACTTAACTACTCTTTTTGAAATTAAAGAAATTATTGACAGTAAAAAATACGCTTTTTGATAATTTATCACTTGTTAATTGAATTTTAATAGTTTTTATAATAGTTTATTTTGTTAACTTTAAAATTAAGAAATCATTACTGTAACGCATTTCATTGTTATTTTTTGACTGAATTTTTTAATTTTTTTTTAAATTTATCTAAATGGGAGTTCATTCAGATTATTCAAACAAGCAACGTTGATCATTTTTGTTTGTTTATGTTAATCAACCACAGGAAGCAGTTTTCAGAGTTCTGTGGATTGTGTGAAACTTTTTTAACTCATTTTCCATCATTCCACATTTTTGTTTATTTATTTTTATCGGGGAGATTTTATTAACTGAATTTAAATCTTAGACGCTGGAAAATATTTTAACAATTTAACAGCTGTACTTATACCTGATTGTACATAAAATTATACTCAGGAAATGTTATTTATAACTTTTTATAATGAAGTTGGGGCAGTTAAAATTTAATACAAAACTAAATAAATATTAAAACAAATGTACGGTTTAGATGTTATTTATATTTCTCAAAACATTTTAATTCAAAGAAAATTGATAGAGTAATTATTATTGTCTCAAACTAATTTTTTGTTATTAAGTGTAGGGCACTTTTTTTAAGAAAAATAGTCAAATTTTGAAAATTTAAAATATAGATAAAAAAAAAACATAAATGATACAATCAGACATTTTAGAGATAGATAACATAGATAATGTAGCTAAATTATAAATTCAAATACTTTTAAAATTACTTATTTGATGCCTTGTTATATATTATCTACTTCCTTAGATTCTTCACTCCCTCTATTACAAATACATTCACAAAATAAAAACAAGTAATATAAAAAAAATTAAGTCAATGCCTACTTAGGTCAACAAAGAAAAGTTTTATTTTAGTTACTTTTTATTAAATAGTTAAATTATTACAAACATATGACATACATATGTATATACATATGACAAAATCGCAATATTAAGTGACAAATTAGAAAGCTATTTTTCTTGCAATTTTCCATTTTCCTTTCTATCTATATATGTCGTTGGGCTGCTTTTTTGTTCGTTACTATTTATTCATTAATTAAATTTAATTATTCTATTAAAATAATGTAGTAAAAACGTCACATTCCCAGAAATTAGGCCATCCCAGATGGGATTCGAACCCACGAATCGTTGGATTAGAAATCCAATCGGCTATCAATTGCGTTACAGGGACACAATGAACAATTTTCCTTTCTATAAATGCTGTTGGACTATTATTTTTGTTTGTTACTATTTATTTATTTTATTAATTTAATGAATGAAAAAAATTGAAAAACTGTATTAACATCAAGAGTCATCCACTACAATTTTAAAAAATGTATTAGAACTTCAGTGGATGAATAAAAAGTATTTTATTAACGACTGAACATTTGAACAAGATATATATATATATAATATACTCTTTCTTCTTAGGCTTTGTAGGTATTACTACTTTTTCACTTGATTTCTTATTTTATTTTATTATACTATATATATATATATATATATATAGGGAGCGAGTGAACTAATAGTAGGAATTGAATTAATATAATAGTGTGTTTTAACGTACCTTAATTAAATTTAAAACCGATTTTTTGAAAATTGTTTAAAACGAAAAGCAAAACTCAAAAACGACAGACACATAAATTCAATGAAAAAATGATTTATTATGCTCAAACATAACAAACTCTATATAACACGCATTCAATAAATAAAACAATTAAATAACATGCAATAGGCTCTGAACAAGAATACATAGCCGGAAGCTCTATACACGTTGAATAGGAAGAAGGTATCTCGCAATGAGATGCAGGTACGTATCATTTGGAAGCTTTTCTATTGACTCTTTGGAGTACTCAAGAGGACTTGATTTAGAAAGAAGAAAACTTGTTCAGTGAAAGAGGCTGAAAAAAGAGGAAATAATTATATATTCACTGTTAAACATAGATAACATGTGTTACTCAACACCATAATTAAAAACATTGTTAAGTATCTATCATTTTAATAAATTAAAAATGTTAACGAAGAGTATTTAGTCGCGCGGTCTCGCCTTAGTAATAATAATTGGATATCTCTTTTTTCTTAGAAAAAAAAAAGATTAAATTAAACTGAATTTAAAGAACATTCTTTAACATTAGAAATAAAACCAAGATTTTCACTTAAAAATTTTTTGATTCTGTTTCGTTCAATATTTTTATGAAGTGGTATTTTTATGAGCATTGAAATTTTTATTTTTAACATGTGTTATGATATAAGAAAAAAACTCGTTTATTTAAAGCAATGGCGTAACCCCGGGAATATTACGGCCACCTGCAATGTCAGGTTTTGGGCCCCAAGCTGGACCTTACAAAGGATTACAAAACCATAACATAATATAGGCTTTAGGCCTCTAGAATCCTGCTCCCTCCACGATGCGGAGCTGTACGTTACGCCAATGATTTAAAGATAAAAAGGACCTTAAATTGAGATTCTTTACTGACTTTTGTATTTTTACACATGTATTTCTTTTTAAAAATGTTTATGTTGCACTATATAATTCGAACTACAAAAGTAAATTTAGAAGCATGAGTATATTATACTTGAACATTATGAGTTTGTACTTCTCAATCGACACAAAATTTGATTTTCTTTCTTTACACTGAATAAATATGTTGTTCTTTTATAAATTATTGATCCATTACTTAATTAAATTTTTCATTCCCAAAATATCTGATTTTTTTATCTTTAAAATTTTTACGCTTAATATTGTGTTAACAAGGACGTATGGACGCAATATGCGTTAACTAAATAGTCTTACTAAAATAACAACTTACAAAGAAAAGTGAATTAGAAGAACGTAATCATTTAATAATGGGGGTAGGCAGGGGCGGCGTAGTGGGGAGCTTGGTAGTGGGGTCGTGGGGCGGAGTAGGCCTTGGGTTCATCGACAACGATGGGGTTGGCGTGGAGGACGACGTCAGCGGGGTTCTGGCTTTCGGTTCCAGGTTCGTTGGTCTTGATTTCAGCTCGGTAACCGTGCTCGTCAGCGACGTATTCTACAACTCGTTCGATTCCGTGGAGATCCTGTTTTTGAGAAGAATAAGAATGAAATTAAAGAAAAATCTTTGTAGAAAAATATCACATGTAAGACAGGAATCCGTCTTTTTATTACTTGTTAAGGGCTTACATTTTATTTCTTTTTAATTTAGTGCCTGGATGTTTGAAAGTTCAATGTCATATTCTGAGATTAAATTTTGCCTTTTTTATATACTACTCTAAATTTGCATCAATATGGATGGACATTTCAAAAACAGATCCAGTTGTGTTTCTCATTAAATTGTCTAATTTTTAGTAAACTCTTTTTAATTTAATTATCAGAACAGTATAAATCCATTGAATAAAAACTGTTTATTATTGATACTTTTAAAAGGGAAATATATATATATATATATATAT